TTGACAAAGAGAAATTTAACGGAAATTTCTTTCCATGTGCAAAGCAAAATAGATTTTGTAAATGATACACATAGGTCAAATTTTAGAGACATTACGTATTTTTTGGAAACAGGAGACAGGAAAAATGAGCAACGCCTTCGCCGAGAATCGAACCACGAATTAAGAATAACCGAATTGTTGCTTAGATAGGCTTTAAATAAATATGGAAATTTATTTACTTAGGATTCAGATAAGCCTTCGGCATACACGCGTGTGCAAAATCACAGATCGCAGTGACACCACTGTAGAGTTCCTCACTTTTATTCTGCTAAATTAGAAGAACCTAGTGACCTGTTAAGCGAATTATCGCTTAGTTAAAAAATAACAGGAATCGTAAACTCAAGAAGGGTTAATTACCCTCTGTTCACTCAAAATAAGATGTACAGTCGGCCTCTTTCTTCGGGCTTACAACAAAGCCTCCATTTGGGCTTAAAAATAAGAAATAAGAGCTAACTATAACTAAGAGATTTAGCCGAAGCTAACACAATTCTAACGTAGTTGTTCCTTAGTCTTAAACTAGCCGGCGAACTATCAAAATGAACATAAGAATAAAGCTGAGCGTAACAGCAACTTAGAAAGAGCCCAAAGGCAAACGCGCGCCACTCAGAATTTCTAGCTCTGTCTCACGAACTTGAACTTTCCTTTAATACTACTTCTTACTCATTTGCATTAAACACTATTCTAAAAACTCATTCTGGTAGACAATTGTAAGTTGAAATGAGGCTATGTAGGAAAGGTTAACTAAATTAAAATAACTGTTATAAAATTAAAATATACCTTACACCACTAAACGCTCGTTGGAAAAGTAATTCTCTGAGCGTTACTGTGAGTATATAAACATCGAACATGGTGCAGTGGGTGGAAAGTTGTATGCGTTTGACAATGTAGAAAAATAAGGAAAAAATTGTGCTATATTTTGTAATATTATTACGACAAAGGGAAGAACGCTGCGATGTAGTGTAAAAAAATTGTGTTTTGTACGATGAACGTACTTTATCAAAATCTTGTGCGCGGAAATGTTTCGCTCACTTTCGTTCTGGTAATTTTGATGTAAAAGATGAGTCACTCTCTAGTCATCCAGTCACTGAAATAGCTGATTAAATTCTTGCAAAATTCCAGCAGTTACGCACATCAACAGTCTCAACATTGGTATGGAGCAGCCGTTGAACCGTTTGCACAAAGATGGCAACAAAAAGAAGCCTGATGTCTGAGTTCCGCATACATTCAGCGCGAAACACATGCTAGACCGAATTAACATCTGCGATGTGCTGCTGATACGCAATGATCTCGAGCCATTCCTCAAACTTGTCATAACCGGGCACGGAAACTGGATCACGTACGGCAATCGCAAGAGTTAAAGATCGTGGATAAAGGATGGAAGGCCGTCACAATCAGTTGCGAAGCAAGGGTTGACGTCAAATAAGGTGTACTGTTTGTGTGATGGAAATGGAAGGGAATCGTCCACCATAAACTACTTCCAGTTGGTCAGACGATTAATTCTCAACTCTGCTGTGAACAACTAGAGAGATTACGCTAAGCAATTGAAAGGAAACGGCCCGAATAGAATAATAGGATAATTGTCTTCCATCATGACAACGCCCGACCACACACTTCTTTGATGACATGTCAAAAATTGGGGGAACTTAATTGGGAAGTTATGATGTATCCATCGTATAGTCCAGACATAGCACCATCGGACTATCACTTGATCCGATCTCTCCAGAACTCTCTCAGTGGAATTAGACTGGTTTCAAAAGAGCCCTGTGAAAAATACTTAACCCAGGTTTTCAACCAGAAGCCACGGAAGTTCTTTACCGATGGCATAATGGCTCTGCTCGGCCCACCAGCGGCCAAGCAGTAAAGTCTCTGAACACTGGTAGTTCGGTCCGAGGTTCGAATCCCGCGAATGGGCTGGCTGCATGGGCGTTTTCGTGGTTTTCCCCATGTGTAACGTGTATAAGAGTCAGTTTCCCTTAGAAAGTCCTCCACGAAGGCATCCCTCCCATTAGGCAGATAGCCCTCGAGGCTTTGCCATAATCACACACACATACACACATGGCTCTACTCGAAAGATGAAGACACATTGGCAATAATAAAAGAGCATGTTTGGGTTAAATAAAATCTATTTCTCGCTATAAGAAAACGGGTTGAATTTTACTCCAAAAAACACCACGAACCTTTTAATAAAGCAAACAAAAAGTATTCACTTTTTTTTTCGTAAATTTTAATTCCGTTAAGGTTAAGAATGCTTCATTATTTTATAAACAATTACTTCATATTTTTAATTTTATAATTTATACATGTCATCCTACTATATTGAAACTGGTGATCTAAAATCCAAAATCCAGATTTGCGGGTCTCAACTAGTTCGATCTCAGACTTTATACTGTATTCTATTTTTTTTTTTTTTTTTTTTTTTTTTTTTTTTAAATCTGAAAATTTTAAATTAGATGATTCTTTCTGAGTTTAAATGTATTTCTCAAAACAGTACAGCAGTGTTTAACTGATATTCAAAAACTAAATATAAAATAAATTAAAACAAATTGAAAATAAAACAAATAAAAATATATAGCATTAACCAAATATAAATATATTTAATGAGAAAAATACACATTTTGAGTTGTAAAAATTATATGGAAAAATTACACAAAATTTTGACTACTGACATTCCGATTAGAAATATACGGGGCATTCTACTAGTGCAAAACAAAAACTATCTGTTCATATGCAGAAACTCATTTTTTAGTCACGAATGTTTCAGAAAAACGCAAATTAGCTTAAAACCTAAAAAAGCTCCTTCTTCTAATGTTTCTTTTCAAAAAGGGATCTTAGCATTATTTATGATTTTTTTTAAATACTCAAATAATAAAACTTACATAATTCACAGCACAGCAAAAAGTAAAATGTCATTGGTTCCTAAGTAGAGATTATCATAAAATGCTCTCGCATTGCAATGCAAGGATAAGTTCACAATTAATCACAATTTTTAATGAAAATGAATTGCTCCACAATGTGTTGGGGAGAACAAATAATTGCAAATTCATTAAAAAAAAAAAAAAAAATCTGAAAGCTTTCAGATTTTATATTACGCCCAAAAGGACTTTTTTTTTCAACGTTTTGTGTGTTACATTTATTTATTAAATGTCATATATTCTTTGCACTTGAACCATAAAATTCAATTCAACAGCAATATCACAAAATATGTAAGAATAGCGTATCTTTAGAATTCTCCGAAAATCCGATTTTCAGTCTCGAGCGCTGGAGGTGGCAACAATTTAAAGAGTGATCCATCGCTAAGCAGTGCCAAAGCGAAATTAATAACCCTTCTGGGCGAAATGCCCCTTTGTGCTAATAAAATCCTCAGTTTAAAAAAAGTATTTTTAAATATGAGAAACAAAATTATGCACTTTAATATTTAACAGTGAGCTTCAGAAACAACTTTTAAACATTTTAATCAACAAATGATGTAAGTAGAGATCGACAAATATAAAAAAATAAGTACAAAATACAACACATATACAAAAAATACGATGTACAAAATATACAAATATATAACAATATACAAAAAATAAATACATGGGTGAATGCATTTATTTTGTAAATTTTTTAAAACATTTAGATCTGGTGGAGTTATTTGGTGTGTTATTTTAACTCAATTCTATATTTAGGTTTGTTTATTTGCAATTTAGATTTTACACATATTTAAAGCATTATGTGTTGTTTCGATTTATTTACTTACTTGATGAATTTTACGTAATTATTTCAAGGTATATTTTTGTTGAATTAAATGTGAGGCCACTTATTTTGTCTGCAAGTAGTTATTTCATGTACTATTGTAGAGTCATTAGGTTTTTTTTTATGTGAAAAACGTGAAAAGTGAGCAATGCCCTCGCAGAGACTCGAACCAGAACATCTCGAATATGCGTCGATTGTGCTACCATTACATCACGAAGACATACAGAAAGAAGGGGAAAAATACCTTATATACTTCTTCTTTTAAAGGGAAACTGGGGATAAGGGGACCAATTGCCAAATCCTGGTGGTGAAGAATCATCATCCAGCACCAGTTTCTGTTCGGGGCTAATTGTAGAGTCTTCTTGTATGCAGTGCCATCATACAGCATTATAACTGAAAGACTGAGTAGCGAATTCTCGCTATGTCTTGGAAGAACATATACTGCAGAAGAAGGTTTAAGGAAGAAGGAAATAACTTTTTTATTTGCTCGATGCTCACAATTTACTACCACTATCGGCTAAGTACCCCGAACAGAAATATATAAAATCACAATAAAGTAAGATGGGCTACACGACTGGCTCCTTATTTATCTAAACCGCTAAATCGGCTACTTTAAACACACGGCATAAATTCGGAACTGAACTTTCCAATTACTACTCCCGAACTCTTAAAACCGCTGCTTAAATACTACTCAGAATTCACTTCGAATTTGCATACATGTCTATAAAACTTACATTCTGTACTATATACAAATTTCAATTCTAATTTTCATTTATTAATACAATTTTCGAAGTATCTGGTGTTTGGCAGCCTGCACTTTATGGAAATTCAGAATACGCTCCTGGTTTGGGCCCGTGTTACATGATACGAATGTTTTATATTGCTTTTGTAACTGAAATAATTTGTATGTACTAATAATAGTAATAAAAATGCAATCGTTCAGCTGATTGGGGGGAATGGAATAGTTTATAGAGATTCAACCAATGGCAGGTACTTCTGCATGCTTATACTCAATCTCAACTTTCTGGTCAAAACAAAAGTTTCAATTAAAATTTCGCTTAGTTTAAAAATTGGCAATTTTTTGATAGATGAGTTCTTAAAGTAGCAGCGATTAAATAAGAGGTTAAATAAATCACATGCATGGACTCTTTATAAAATATACATTTCACGATTCTGCGTGTAATGCATTTAAATTTACAAATTATATAATAGGGAGAAAATATTACTTCGAATTTCAGAATTTCCTAAGTTCCATTGGTAAGGCATAGAAGATTCACAAAACGTAGGCGTGACGTTATCAAACAAAGTATGCATAATCCGCACAGCACATTTTACCTTGATCAACTCTGGAGGCAATTCAAAATTGAATTCCATGGAAGATGAATCTATACCTTTATGGCGAACATTTTTTGAAAGATTACCCCAAAGGCAGAGAGAAATGGGAGGTGAAGTCTTATCGTCCTCAAAACAGTCCACTATTCCATATTCTATATTGAAAGTCTCATCATTTACATACTGATTTGCAGCCTAAAATTAGCACAAAACAGAAACAAACAAAATACTCCCATTAAATAGGAGTAAACATACATTTCTCAATGCAAAAGTAAAATTACATAAAATTTGAACAGAAAAAGGATTAGTTAAGTAAGAAAAAACTGGCTTTTTTCAATATTTGCATATTCACATGATGAATATTGCATCCTGATTGATGAATATTTGCATATTCACAGGATGTAAAATTGTCCAAGTTGTACTTAGATTCTTCCTTAAATTATTACTTAATTACATAAGAATTTAGGGTGTTTTATGATTATTTGCATCGCTGCAAAAAGTTGGCAAGTCATCAGTGGCTTCGTCAATCGGCAAGAAACCTTTATATGACTTGCAGGTACTACTGTTCTATTCATAAATAATACTAAAAGGAAGCATTTTATAAACCTCACAGCCCCATTACAATTGATTATGATCTTTAAAAAATGCTCTTGGGGTTGAATACTGATCGTGTAAAATAACAGTTAAATATAAAGCATGTAAATCTATATGTACTGAAACACGTGTGCAGTACACTGAATGCAGGATGGCTACTGTCACATGTACAGTCTAAAGCATGCCAAATACATCGTTCTACAATGTATTTGGCATGTTCTGCAACAGCAGGTGCAGATAATCAACAGGTACCGAGTTTAATTTATAGTTTCTACATACAGAAAGAAGTTCAAGGTTCAAAATGTGATTATGATTCTATAGTATAACATTGCTAATTTTAAGTCTGTCACATACATAAAAACTGCAAGGAATTTTTAGATACTCAGTAAAATATCATTGTGGTATGATACATAAAGTACAGAAGCAATTGCCTTAAAATTATAAATGCAAAATTCAAAAAAGTCGAATATTTAAAAAGGAATTTTTTTAAAACTGTTATTCAGTAAACTTAGTGTAATTAATAGTTACCCTAAGAATTAAGAATGTAGCTATTTCTATTTTCTTTCTCATCATACACTGCAGATTTCTTATGCTCTGTGGGGAAAAAAAATCTGTTCTGCACAAAAGAGAAGTTTTAAAAGTACATAAATATAGCAAAATATAAAATAACATTTTAGATCTCTTGAAACATTATACATTTTATGCTTATAACAAATTCATAGTACCTCTAAGCAAGATTTTAAAACTTTATATTCTGGTTCTGGACATTCTAGAAGTGCACATTTTATATCTTCACACATCTAAAGAAGAAATAACGCAGATATGATGAATAAAAATAAAAGAGAGACAGAGAATTCTTTTGATTTCTAGTGATATTCAAAACATAAAAATTTTATATTACCACACATTAATTTTTTATCAATGAAAATAATATATACACATAAGCAATCAAGTACCTTTTACAAAATACAAGTGTCTTTTACAAAATACAAGTGTCTTTTACAAAGATAACCAAATTAAGTGATTATGGCCATTTTTGCCTCTGGCAATTAATTTTTTAAGTATTTCAAATTTTTACATACATTTTATACAAATAATAGAATACATTGAATAAAAACAGCATAATACATATCATGGGGAACAGAGAAAAGGGGGAAAATAATAGTGTATTTTGAATATAAAAGGTATAATACATTATAAAAAATACTTTGAAAAACTAACTGGTCACTTAGTATTCCTCATAGTAATCTAAAATCTTGTTTTAAAAAGTTTTCTAATTATTTGCTTCTCTTACTATATTATCTTTGCAAAAATAGTTTGATCTTTCTTGGCATGCATTTAGATACACTTCTACCTCCCCCATTCACACCTAATTTTACACCATATTCATCTTCTATAACCAATTTCAGTTAAAGAAACTTGAAGTTAGTTTTACAGAAATGTTTAGCTGTCAAATTTCATGTTCCATTCCTTTATGTTCTGGATAATAAGTGTCATCGCAGATACAAATTCAAAGCAAATGCGCTTAGAATTCCTGTCTTGATAGTATTTTAAATCATTTTACAGGTTAAAATTTCATGTTAATAACTTCGAAATTCATTTCAAATTATAAGAATTTTTGTATTGATCTGTTACACACCAGCAGATTTAAGATTGTGGTTTCTTCAGCTAACATATCATCCTATAGCATTACTCATCATCCATCCTCAGTTTAGAACTAAGTTCTATTTTTAAAGTTCTTTATATCTTACTATTATACATTTTATCTTAGGTTCCTTATTTAAGATGCTAAATCAGCTTTCATCAGCAAATATTATTTAATTTTCTTATTTCACAAAGATATTTTTACAATTTGACTAATGTACTTTTTTTCTTCCCCATTACAATCATCCTTTATATTTAATAGACTGAATTACTTTTTAACAAGTTCTGGATTAACTGATATTCTACATGACAAATAAAATTTTTATGAATGTCTGGGAGCATATAAAGTTTGGTTATTTTAATATTTATAACAACATAAAGTTGTATCCACAGGACAACTGTAATGGTCTTCCTTACTTTCAGTTTGAAATTATGTGGAAAACAGAAAATATTTAAAGCGGAAAATAAAATTTTAAACTAATATATAAATAATATATAACCAATGGCAATACAATATATAACCAATGGCAAAATAAATGGACCCAAAGATAAAAAATAATTATAATTTAGGTTCTTTCTGATTGATGGGATGCCACTTGATGTCAGTCATAAATGTTTATGCGTAATCAAACTGAAGATGGGAACGACACCCTACAGATATATAAAACTTCATGAAAAGAATAACTCATTTATTAAATAAAAAAACTGACTGAATTTTAGTAATTTAAATTTTCGACGCTAAAAGTAAAATGAATAGTGTCAGAAGATGAAAGCAGGAAACTCTGGAATCAGCTTATGTAAAATTTTGTTCTCATGGAAAAAATCTTTCATCGTAGTGTTATTAGGTGCTTTGGCAGTGGCAAAATGCAATTTCATTTTGTGGTTTCTTGAACGAAGCCTTTCATTAGGATTATATTATCGTCTTGGAAGAATTTAATCATGACTGTACATCATCTTGTAATTGCCAAATCATGTTATCCCTGCCAATTCTTTAAAAAGAGAGGGAACAAATCAGTACTTCAACAAGAAAAGTAACTGAAAATCTTTAACAGAAATTACTGGATCTATGTTTTCTTTTCATTTATTCACAATGATGTCACTATATAGCTATTCATGAGATGAAATAAACAAATTACTAAATTTAGTACTTTGTCATACAATTGTCGACTATCGTCTGGGTGTCCGCCGAAAACATCGCGGAAGAAAATGTCGCAGAGGAAACAAGGCAAGGCGAAAACTTCGTGGTACAAAACATCATGGGAGAAAAGAAAGCAAAGGAAAAACATCGTGGTAAAAAATATCGTAGTCGAAAATAGAGCAGTTCAAAAACTTCGAAATTTAAAAATATCATCGTCGAAAATATCGTGGTAAAAAATAAAGCACCTACAAATTATCGCATGACGATAAAATCGCACATGTTTAAAAAGCTGTAAATGTATTTTCGCGTAATGATTTGAGACCACAGGAAGGAAAGAAGGTATTTTTACGTTATATTTCATATTTTTGAATGAACTAATAAATTTTTGCTGAAAAAGTGAGAAGGAAACTTAAGCATTTAAAAATTGAAAATGAATGCAACTTATAGCACTTAATAGAAGTTTAAATTTACAAAGTTAATTAACAAGGGTCATTAATAAATTAATCTTTTTTATAAAGTTTTACTCATAGTTTTTCATGAAAAATACAGCACAAAAATATTTAGAAAAAGTAAGATAAATAACTGCATGAGGTTACCTCCATAAAAATTGCTTAGTTAATTATCAAATTACTTTATTTCACGTTTGATATTGTTTTTGTGAAAATTATATCTTGTTTTGTTCCCGTTTATTCTCAAAGTGACGTTAACATTTCTTGCGCTTCCAGATCTTTATGCGAATATGCATTTACAACTTTTAAAACCTGAAAAGTGCATGTATGCGATATTATCGTCATGCGATTATTTGTAGGTACTTTATTTTTTACCACGATATTTTCGACGACGATGATTTTAAACTGCGAAGATTTTGAACCCCATTATTTTCGACGAGGATAATTTGTACCACGATGTTTTAGAACTGCGATATTTTCTCTTTGCTTTCTTTTCTTCTACGATGTTTTGTACCACGACGTTTTTGCCTTGCGTAGTTTTCTCCGCAACGTTTTCGTCCGCGACGTTTTCGGCTGTAACCATCGTCTGTTATTTTAAAATAGCAACTTCAAGTTTATTTTCCATTACAAAGTTGGACTCATAACCATGGAAACAACAGCTATGGAAAAAAGGTCGAGTCAATTTTTTTCCTTCCGTTCATTTCTGTGTAGTGTGTTTCATGTACTAAAAGCACGCAAATGAAAGCTGACTCAAGCCACAGTCTCAAGTAACGTGGAGAAAATAAATATTGCATGATGACGATGACAAAAATTATGATCACAAATGAGGAGAGAGCTGATAACGACCTTGAAATGCCTATTTTAAATTAGGAGACTATAGTGTTGTGCTAGCACAGAAATACTATAATTTATATACATTACAGTAACAACTTATAAATTAACAAAACAAACCTGACTACACTGACGACATTTCCTAAAAACTTGAATTATATCATACATTTCATCTTCATCCCACTCAGTCAAATATGCATTCACTTCAGGCAATATTAATGGGTTGATGTCATAGTTCTGATAAATATAATTATTCCACTACAGATAAAGAAATAAAAATCTCTTGTTAATGAATACAAAAATTCTAGCTACTCGTACATATCTTAAAAGATGAGGGAGAATAATTATTTTATACTCCAATAGAAATCATTTATTCATTTCTGGTATAAGTACAAATGCATAGCATGCAAGTTATTTCAGACTTAGTTTAAATTTAAACTTATTCCCCACTTTCGCAGAATATTTGACTAGCAAATCTAAAATTACGATTGCATGCTTATTTTAGATGTGCAAATAAAAAATAAATTTAATACTTAATTTTCATTAAAATAATTTCCTGTTTCAAATTTAAAATTATAATATATAAATAACAGTTATACATAAATTGTAACTTTTTGTTTGTTTGTTTGTTTGTTGTTGTTGTTGTTGTTGCATCCAAATACGCTTCAACACTGATGTTCTCTGTACCTCTAAAAGAAAAAATTTAAAAAATTGTTTTTTTCCCACAAAAAAATTTCTGACTTCTTTATTCACTTTGAGAAACTATCAATATAATCGATATATTTATGCATGTCAAAAAACTGGATATGAAATCAAGTAGAACTATAATAATATATAATAGATCTGAAAATAAAAAATAATTTCAAGGTTTCTTATTAGTTTCAAACCATTATTAAAACAAACATTTCACATGCAAGCTTTATATATATGTGCACAGCTTAACACTGAAATTATAACAGCAAGATGGGGAAACCTTATGGTCAGGGCCAGATTAAGACCTTTAAAAACCCAAAGCACTTAAAGATTTTGGTGACTCTACATTTTCAGCAAGCATAATGTCTGAGTCACTAAGAACCTTTTTGTGTTTCCCCTTTTCCTTGCTGCCCTAAGTATACACTTTTTCTGTTAAATGGTTAAACCAATGCTGTCTAAGGTTATGCAAATAGAAGGCTTGGAAGTATAGATGACACATGCAGGTCATGAAATGTTTCTCAAATCGGCAACATATAGAAAGGGTCTAAATTGTATATAAGCCTGATTTTTTTTTTTATTTTTTTTTATTTTATTTTTTTTTTTTAACTTTTTATGTGCTCCGCCCTTTGACACTGCTCGGAAAGGGAAGGATGCGTGGAAAGGGAAGGATCCCCTGGAGATCTTTTTAAACGAAACTGGCTCGTTTCCAAGTTAACATTGGGGAAAAGCACGAAATGCATGCAGCCAGCCCGTTCTCAGGGACTCAGTTAATATATATACATATATGTATATAATTACAAAACAATTCTTTTGAAAACAAACACAAACATGCTTAGTATTTTCGCACATTAAGCAAAGTTCTCAGGGACTCGAGCCCGAACCGAACTACTAGTGTTCAGCGGCTTTTACCGCTCGGCCGCTGGTGGGCATATAAGCCTGATTGTACGTTATTTTTCCCCTGCCACATGAGACTTCAGAAATTGAATTAAGTCTTGTGGTTTGATAATGCAACGCACTCAGCTTGTCACGTCCTTCTTATCATAGCAAACAAATGTCTCATGCTTAAAATACTGTTAGATAACGAAGTTTACAATTAAGATCTTACATAAGATTTGACAGATTTTGATAAGTGGAAAAAGTATTCAAAGAAATATCATTCACTGTTGAAGAAATTTTTGCGTAATTTTAACAGAAGAGAAAACTATAAGAATTCAGATGCAGATAATGGGTACTTGTTTCCTGTAGCGCTGTGGTAAGAATCTGATTTGCCACATTTGTGCATTGGCGAAAAACATATGGTTATCGATTTGTGCGTGTGTTTATCTTCTATTCTTGATTTTAAAAATGTAATGGTTTTTTTTTTTTTTTTTTTTGTATGTGCTTACAGTTCACATTTTAGGTAGTGAAAAGTAATTTTAAAATATAATGGGTTTCCTTTTCAAATATTTTTTATGCTTACTGTTTTTGATCTACCATCAACTGGAAAAGATACTATAGGTTTTTTTTTTTTTTTTTTTTTTTTTAAATAAAAAAATGCATATTACCAAGAGATAGAATTTGTGAAATTGCGCGTATCTGTTTGGCAATGCAAAGTTCAGGCACCGACCGTAACAGTGCTTTTGAGGCATTATTAGCAGCAATTGCTGAACTAGGCCACGAGAAAGAGTTTGTAAAAAAAGCGAATTTTCTGTCATGCACATTACTTCTTTAAATAATTTCTGACAGAATCGTATAAAATAAAATAAAAAATATAATTTTAAAATTAATTTATTTAAATACTGTGAGAAATACAATTTTATATTAAATTCTTTATATATATATATATTTTCCTTGCTTTGGGGAAGGGCCAGAATTTTCAGGTGAACTATTATAAGTATAATTAAAATACATTGAAATGGTTCATCATATAATTCTGGATATAGAAAAGCAAAGACTTTGTAGAAGAGAGATTTCAATTCATTTCAAAGTTCCTCACCCCTTATGAAGTGACATTGAGGTTAATTGCATTCCTCTTCTGTTTTTGTTCATTTTTCATTAAATTTCATAAAATATTTGAAGTGGGGTTTTGCTTGTTTGAAATGTCCTAGTTTTTAACATTTTAAAATTCTTTGTTGCATTTATATGATTTTTCATTAAATTTCATAAAATTTTTGAAGTGGGGTTTTGCTTGTTTGAAATGTCCTAGTTTTTAACATTTTAAAATTCTTTGTTGCATTTATATGATTATTTGAAATTTATTAATTATGAATTATAATTTCGGGACTTTGTGAAATATTAGTTCTAAATTTCTTACTTTATCTCTTTAATGATAATTTTTCTGCAGCTTAATGTGCGAAAATACTAGACATGTTTGTGTTTGTTTTCAAGAGAATTGTTTTCTAATTATATACATATATGTATATATATTAAATAACTTACACTATATAGAAATTGAGTGAATTACCATTTAGTGATGCCAATTTCATTTTCGTGCTTACTTGTAACATTCGGCTTCAAATCACACTTTCTTAAGCCCAGACTGCGCCAGTGCCGTATTCTTTTGCCAAGGCCATTACAGAAGACAAGTAGAAATATAATTAAACATTTGAAGAAATTTGTGCATAATTTTAGCAGGAGAAAAACTGGAAAAATTCAAATGCAGATAATGATTATAAAAATTTTCTCCTTTTCTAATGCATTTCAAATTCATGTTCTTTAATGCAAAATTTCAAAATCACGTGATGTACAACAGATTGTATTAACAAAAAATGCTATTGTAAGTTTACTACAGAGTTCAGATTTGATCTGAGATCATAACGATGTAAACTAGAAATGTTATCGACAGAATAGAAATCGACTTAGAATTTGACCCTACAACATTCAGATAATTCTGTAGTTAATAGAATAAACAATAATTATATTGATAGAGAAGAGAATTATTTGATTTTAATGAAAGAACACTGATGGTGACAAAAGAATTTTTAAAGTTTTCATTAGTTACGTAAAGGTGCACTAATAGGTTCTGCAGAATGAAAGCCGAAGTATGGAAAGAAATAACTTATTTTTTATTTACCTGCGTGATGCAATATGTAATAAAGAAGATGGGAAAGAAGGTTTCTGCTAAAACACAGTTCCAAAATTAAGTTTATCATCTGTTAAAATGTCAAGAAGGGAAAAAAAAAAAAAAAAAAAAAAAAAAAAAACACATACAACATGATATTTAATTTATACATAAATTGGCAGGCAATTTAAGTTAAATAAAAATAAATGGTGGGACAATAAGAATTTATGATTGAGCCACTACAAAGAAAGCAATTATCAGCACAGAAAATCCAGATTATGATTGCTACAGATTACTGAACAATTTAGATTCATAATAGTAAAAGGGGGGCTTCAAAAGTAACAGCATTCAGAAAATTTAATTAAAGGTCCAGATGACATTCCATTCTTTTACATTATCATTTACTTATCAGAGCATTTCTCATATAATTATCTGTTAGCTTCTTGATTCTTACAGAAAATTGTTTCTCTACACGTAGCCAGGAATGCAAAACTAGTACGTTGAGTTCAGCAACTCTAGAAAACTACCATATCCTTACAGTATCTTTAAAGGGATACAAATATGGTAGTCAAAGGGTCGCAAAAGAGGCTGTTGTGTTGTTGAACTCAGATTCGAAAAGCCAGGAATGTATATACTTTTCTTCTTGCAGGCGTAAATCGGTCGCCCGTAGGTACCTTTTGGGCAGTATTCTTGGCTAAATGATAAGTGGGTTAGGCCATTCTGAAATTTGAATGCTTAATAAGCAAACCACTGGCCATAAGATTACAAAAAAAATAATAATAATAATTAACTGATCAGTAACTTTGATATTTACGGCTCTTCTGAATCGGAAAAATCTAAATGGAAACATCAGCACTATTTTTAATTTCAATAAATGGTCAAATTCAGTCCTTATTTACAAGGTTATTATTTAAGTTAGCCAGTTATTTATAATTTCAGCCATTACTATAACTTCTCATTTCTCTTTCTTTACCAGAATGTAAATGAGTTATATACTATTTGTAAGACAACCCATGTTTCAAATCTGTGCGCGCATGCTATTTCAGTTCCTGCCAGCTCTGATAAGTTGTAATTATTCAGCTTTGCATTATTGCTGCCAACACGTGGATTTCATATGCCGGTAGAGTTACTGAATCAGCTTAGAATATATTTAAATTATACAGCCTTCGGCTACTATTTGACGTTTTAACTTGAATTTGACTATTCAGTTTAGTTAAGAGTTGTTTACCACTAGTTGTGGCTGATTTTGTTAGCACAAGAACATGCGTTTATGTTCTAAATTCAGTTTAGATAAAAAGCTTTATTTGAACCTTTCCCTAACTCTGTAGTTGACTATTCAGTTTAGAGTGATAAATCCTTTCACGTCTCTTAGGGGTTTATAGATTTTAAATTTAAATTTAAGATTAAAAATTTTCATCAAATCAAGGAAAACATATATTTATAGCCGACTAAAAGAAAATACAGAAGAATGTCATTTAGATAGACAGAGATGCATTTTGTTTTTATGTGAGATGACTGAATTGCAAATCTTTTATTGAAATTAATACCAAATATTGTTTTATTTATGCAAACTGGCATTCGTAATATTTGGATCTTTTGTTATGACTGATTATAACATACAAACATTTTGATTTTGAAACAAAAACTGAAAGACAATTCACATTAAGTCATGGAGATAATAAATTGCAATTTTCAGAACAAAACGATTAATTCAGATCAATGGTCTTCAAACAATGTTCAACGAAATCCCTATGTCCTTCGACTCTATGCAACTTCCCTAAAGATTCTGGAAGTTGAAATCAAAATTGGAAAGATTTTTTTTTTTATGCCAAGTGAACCACAAAGCTAAGCATTTAAAAGAATAGAGTCATTAGGTTATTTTGAAGCAGGAATCGTGAAAAATGAGCAATGCCCTCGCCGAGACTCGAACCTGGACCTCTCGAATACGCGCCGAATGTATTCCTTGAACGAAGGCATGCAGAAAGGAGGGAGAAAATAACCTTATAAATTAATATTTTAGTATGCTAGCCAGATAAGTAATTAAGTTCTCATACTGTGAAGCCTGGCAGAGACCCTGCCATATTTGTATCAGTTGTTCCAGTGGAATTCTGTAGGACATGATGCCTCTTTATTTAATAAACAACCAGTATTTGACCCATTTCCGTTTTGTGCTTCATAAAAAGGTTTTGACGATTTCTTGTTTGTTGTAGGCTCTCATTTTACTGGAGCTCTGCTTAGAATGCCGTGAGTATTAGCCAATTACAAATTTAGTATGTATATAACTTCTCATAGGCAATTCTTCCAATTATTCTCGGATTGGCCATATCCAGCTGTCTTTTGCCTGTTTACCAGATGTTAATTCTCTCAATCAGCTGTAAATGATTCAGAGCGCAGTTACATATTAATTTTTTTTTTTTTTTTTTTTTCAAAATACAAGGGAAAAATACAGCAACAACAGTTAGTTTATATCCTTGTTAATAAAAACAAAAGGTGGTTTACCAGAATCAGTAGGGGTTACATAAAACAAAAGTGCAAACATTATGATTGTGTTGTTACATCGTACTTATTCACAACTGAGCCTAAATTGCGATGCTCAGCAAGAGTTTCATGTTTGACAGGATAATGAATGAGCATCAGTAAGGCAATATTGCATAACAAATTATAAACAAAATCAACTTACGCACTTTTTTTCCCAATTAATGTTTCTCTTTCTCAAGAAAAGGCTATTCATATCTTCAAACAAAGACAACAATTTTTTATTCTGTATTTCTTTAATTTCTGATTCCTGAAATGATGATGACAGTAATAATTAAAAATATGGAATATAAATGTATATGAATGTAAAGTATACATGAATATAAATAAAAATAGTATAAAGAAATGGAATCTACTGAAGACAAGGATTAGTTACCTCAGCTTTTTTAAATTCATTAGTTTGGATATCATCTTCAAACTCCAAATGTTTATTTTCTAAATCACCATTAACATCTAAAATTAAAGAACGGAATTTATTTTATAATAAAAAATGCATACACACACAAAAAAATTCATATGAAAATTTTTTAGTTTTTAACTATTAGCTTTTCAAAGAAAGAGGAGAATAAAGTTATACTATTTAATACGCACAATAAAATTTACATGTACTTAATACCAGCATCATCCACTTGTGTACACCACATGTATATTTGCCTAAAATAAACACAATTTACTATATAAAATATACAATAAAATTTATATTTGTATGTAATCGCCATAATAATAATAATAATAATAATATGTATATGACACCTACACATTTACTGTATAAAATATATTAAATAACAGTACTTTACTATTTGTTGCTATCTACCAATCCTACACTGAGTGCCATCCTGCAAATTGTAGCAACCTTAGACGCTGCTCTAAATTCTTCTAGAAAGATGCTGCTTTTATTGCACTTGCGTTCCGATTTTCATGCTAAGAAACTCTGTGATACAACATGTATGACAGAAATGCAATGCCAATAACTGCTGAAGTGTTAGAATAAGTACTAGGAAATGGTACAAAGAAAGTTACTAGTTTTTTTTTATTTAGCAGAGTTCATATGATGTTAGAGAGAAGCTGCATCGAATAATAATCTATTTGATGTATTTTGGCTGAGAATGCCAAACAATACCCACCCACCCCCAAAAAAACTGTTTACTTGATCTCCTGCTGAAAAAAATACATTTCTCCACCAAAAGATGTGTAGCAATATAGTGATGTAGTAGCAGGTGCCGGCTAATATCCAAGTACCTACGTAGCTTTTTAAGGCAAACATAAAAGTATAATTAGCTTGAATTGAAAGCAATACTTCAGAACTTATTTGTTCTTTTTTCCAGAAAATTAATTAAAAATATAGCAATGATCTTGTTTCCCTTATGCAAACATTATTCCGAAAGATTCTTTTTAGGCTGGTGAATTTGCTGAACTTAGCATTCAAGCCTTACCCATAACTTAAGATTTAACTTACTTGACCATTTCAGGATGTAACTATTAAGCACATAAATTCCCAACAATATTTTAGGTAGTCTAATTAGAATAAACTGTTAAGTATGAATTAATCAATTTGACTGTAAATTTAAAATATCAATATAATGGTGAAAGACTAAGTTAAGAGTTCCTACTATAAGCTTTGCTTTCCAGATATGATAACTTTTATTAATTCGAAGTATATCATGTTATAGGAATGCTCTTTACATTACTTAGGAAGATCTAATTAGTACCTTTTTAGGTCAACAAATGAGATCCAAAAATGACTTTCGCATTGTAAATAAATGAGACAGATAACAATTCCATTTGGTTTATTTTATGCAGTGATTAGAGAAAAATGCAAGTTTAATTTTGAAACAACAGCTTTAAGACAACATGAATAATTGTATGGAAGAAATATATTAGCCTTAGCAGCCTAGCATACTTCTTACTTCAATTCTTTTACATAAGCCAAAACACAAGATTAATCTTGACGTCTGACTACAGGCCAGACTGATATAGAAATTCTAAATGCAACACCTGATGGATATAAATGATAATGAGATGTTAATAAATAATATCTTTTCTTCCTTTCTTTACCGTAGGGCCTAGATCTTTCATTACTGAATCTTTGACAACTCAAAGTACCATCATTAGTAAGGAAAGGATTTTAAAACGCAAATTTATTGTCAAAAAAAGGGGGGAGGAAAAATCCCAAGAATGCTCAGAAAAAGGCTCAGATAAAATGCCTTTATTCGATTCTATATCAGTTATATTTACATTATTTATTTTTTCTTAAATGAGTAATAGTTAAACATTGTAACAAGTAACATAAGCAATCTCTTTAGAAAATAAACGGTACTATTCTGTTATCGGGACCTGATTCAGAACGGTATGTATGTACTCATGTATGCTCACATACATGCATATGTGCGTATGTATGTGTGTATATACACAAGCTCTTATACGCACATACATACATACACGCATGCATACATACATACATCTCTGAAACCCGTTCCGATAACAGAAGAGTACCAAACAAACATTGCTTTCTCAATTATCAGATACTTTAAGAAACCTATAATGCAAGGTGATATTCAAGAAGTGTATGTTGCAAATCACCAGTAAAAAATTAGGAAGTCCTAGTATTTGATGAAACTGCTCAGTATGAACAAAAATAGTGAAGCATATCTTATATGAACATGGAAAAAGGGTTTTTTATACTTGATTTTCAAGTTTGAAAGTCTATCGTAGTTGTTCCTCACAACTATGAATTTCATCCACTGTTACTATTTCTCATATCCTTTTTCAAATTCTGAGTCACAGTTTATAAGTACTCATTGCCATCAAACATGAAAGGTTCCAGTTTCATGTCTCTTTGTTGCTGAGCGTCTATTAAGCATGCCTGATGGCTACTGTTTCCATAGAATCTATTGTAGATACAAAACATGTAATTTTGTCTTTTGGAAGATTTTACAGAAAAAAAAACTAAGCATCTATTCGAGGCACCCCACCTATATATAATGAAAAACTTTAGCAAGTACAGCTTAATAATTTTTCAGTATAAGATATAAAGGTATTAGGGGTAAGCAATATTATATAAACTGGTAAGAAATACTTTAGTAAGCAATAGTTTACAAACTAGGAAACAGAAAATGAGATTCACAAGTTAAAATGAATACTTAAGCTGTGAACAGAAATAACATTACAAATGTCTATTGAATATCAATGAATGCATGTGAAACCAAATGGCATAATGAAAATATGTTTTTATTTAACAACAGTTACATTATTAATTTATTATTTATCATAATTACACAATTTATTATAATTATATTGTAATTATGAAAAATAATAAATTAATAATGTTATTTCTGTTAAATCATTAATTATTTATCGTAATTACAATATATTTAAAATTCAGATGATTATTTAGAAGATCTTTATATTACCATCAATAATTTCTTTTTCTTTTTTTATAACAGATTTGAGTCGTCTGAAAATGGATTTCTTTCTTGGCTAAAAAACAAAAAGGAGAAAAATGTTTTCGTTAATTAGAAAATTATAAAATAGGATATTTTAATGAATGTTAAAAAATGATACTCATAATTAATTTAGAAGCTAAAATCATATTAGCAAATTATATGGCATCGCCATCAGTGAAACTCATATTTCAAAGTTTACTGCGAAATACACAAAATCTATATTTTGTAATTTATTGCAGAATCATCAATATGTTAAGAGAATCAAAATGCTTTTATGGAGCATAAAAGCACCTGTTAAATAACAATACCTCCCATACAAGAAACGCAATTAAGATCAGCTGTTAATCGAAAAGGGAAAATGTTATTTCTTCGGAGAAAATATATTAAGAATTGAACATGTAACAAAGAATAATTAAACACAATTATAATTAAAAATCATACAGGCATGATAAACGAAATGTTATTGCATCGTTCAAAAATTAATTTTCAGACTTCTTAAAACGAATTCCGATGTGTTATTCCTTTATCTAAATTTTCAAGCACCGCATCATGACAAAATTGCTGAACCGAAATCTGGAGTTAAACCGTTACCATCATTTTACCTTTTGAGTGCTGACAGCTTTGGGAAAACAAATACTGAGCTTGCAAGTTGCCAAGGAAACGCAATACGAGAACTATCGTTGCCATATTGCTAATTGTATATTCTGTTGAATATTTAAATTTAATATACATACGTAAATTAAATGTTTAAAGCAATACAAATAAATATTTCTTCATAACACGCTGACGTAAAACTTAAATTAAGTATGGCTATTGCTTTGATCTATGTACAACGTACAGTTTTTGTTTTGTTTTGATTTGCTTTGCATTTATAATATGTTTGATTTTCTTAGTTTTCGTTTGGCAACAAGTAATTTGTGTTTTGGTCGAAATTGAATTTATCGTGTTCGTTGTTTAGATTCCGTGGATTAGTTAGTAAATTGTCATGCTATTAATGCTAAATTGTAAGCAGGTTATGCTGATGAGGAACTAGAACCAGAATATTTTAATTTGCAATGAATTCTTCTGCTGCTGAAATAAGTACCGTGTCTCTTTATTCAGAAAGTGAAGAGTTAAATACTTTGTCTTCAAATGTTGGAGACGCGCTGTCACACTGTAATTCATTGAAATCTGACCTTATAGAATATGGTGCTGGTAAGAAAATTTACTTCTATCCAAAATAAATTATTCAACATTTTGATATTGTCAGACTTAATAAAGTTTGTTGATCTCAGGATTATTAAGCATCGATATTTAAGTGTTTATCATTTAACCTCCCAATTCGCCACAGTTCCCTTTCCTATTAGAAAGCTTCAAAATAATATTTAAATGTTAGTGAGTTTTCTATTTCCCTCTAGAAGAATACCTAGAGATATACTCTCTATTCCCCTATTAGAGGGCATTTTATTCAATGTTATAGCAGATCTTCTTCCTAGATCATCTTATGCAAATAATGACTTCGTTTGTGATTTAAATGCTGTTTCTATAGATTTACAATCCCGGAAATCTAAAGACATTCGTGAGAACAAATAAAAGAGGAAGATTATAGACTGTTTTGAGTGCTCTTAAATCGTGATTAACGTCATCCGTCATCCTAAGTTCTCTTCTGAACCGCAAATAAGCAGCGGTATGACCTGTAGTATTGGTCACTTTGATGAGTACTACAGAAAAATCAGAATGATAATTTAGATATCAATGAAAAACATTTGCCGGTAAAAAAGGAGGAATTTCTAATTCTAATACTTTTTTTACCATTGCAGCGGTTATTTCTACCACCGTGACCACAATACCATATACGGCCATCCTCAGAATTGGCTCTTTTAACGATCTTCATCTGTGATCCACATCTTTCGCACTTCATTGAAGAAGCAATTAGCGAGGTTTCCTCCAAAAATTTAAAATAAAGTTCCTCTGACCTTTGTAACAATTTATAAATAAATCTTTGATTAGGAAAGCCAGGTTGGCCAAAATAAGGTCTCAAAGGACAATTTTTTGATTCTGATACCAATAATTCTTGGTAATTACCAATAACAACATTAATCTTCGAAATGGTTATATCCATTCGCTTTGAAATCTAAGGAATTCAAAGAGATGAAATAATAAAATTTTAAAATGGTGCAGTAATGCACAAATATTCAGTAACCAATCAGGGAGCTGATTTCATCACGCATAGAATGAAAATTATTTAAATAATCATACATAATGAAATATTTTTTAAATGCAAAATTAAATTGTATTTTAATATTTAACAGCCATAAATAATGTTTAAAACATTAGATTAAATTTATAGATATTAAAACCAATTACTTTTAAAGTCTAGGCCTCGTTTTAAAGTAAGGTGACGTCATTGATTACATCATCCACAACATAAAATTATATAAAATATCATAAGCAAAAAAATTTTTATTTCAAATAAAAATGCAAAATTAAATTGATTTTTAACATTTAGAAGCCATAAATAATATTTAAAACACGGAATTTGTGCATAATAAAATGCATTATTCTTTAAATAAAAGGAGAACAAAGTATCGGTTACCATAAATAACTTGTTCAGCAATGAGTTTACCATAAATCGTATCACACGCAAAAAAAAAATGCCAAAATCCGTGCAACCAAAGTAGCACCCTTTGTCCTTCAACATATATTCACTTAAAAAATCAGGAAGATAAATCACGGTAACCAGAAATGGGGTTTCATCAACAAAATTTGTCGCCAATCGAAGGGACACCCAATTCTACACTAGAGCTCTATTTTGATAATGATTATTGATAGCTTTTCTACAGTAGCTATAATTGTGTCATGTACGATTTCGGTGGAAGTATATTTTAGTGCACCCCTTGGCGATTTTTGGCGGTACATGGATACCAAGTTTGTGCAATTCTTATTATTTTGGCTTGCATAACGGCGATTTTTGGCATAAAAATTGCCACTACACAAAGACAAAATTGCACAAACTCGGTATCCATGTACACATAGACCTACATGCCCTTGACTTTATCCATATACACATTGACCTATTTTCACTTAAAAAAAACCAAGAATTGCACAAACTTGCATTGCGCACCCCCTTCACTTTGTCCACGTACACATCGATATATTTTCACTTAAAAAGTCAAAGGAGCACCCAATTCTAACATACAGGCAAACAAAAAATATATAATCTCCAATAAACTACATTTTAAACCAAACAATAAAATAACATAAAAAAGGAAAAACATGTTATACATTTAAGCACTGCAAAAAGCAAATATAAACTTACCCTATTTAGAAGTTCCTTCGTCTTTAGTCTGTGGCCCACAAATTTGTATAAATACACTTTAATTTGTATAATTTAAAATTGTTATGTGTTTAATTTGTATATATAACCTGTATATATTTGGGTACTTTTCCGTTTCGCCGGCGCAAATTCGCCAAGCAGACTTTGTTGGCGACAGCATGCAGTATACACATAAAAAATGTTAAGAAATGTTAGTTCTAAGAATTTTTTATTTTGAAGGCATAAACATTTTAATATGGTTTAAATTTTGTAAAAAGCTAGTAAATAAAGACAATAAATTTGTAAAAACACATTAATTTAAAATTTACTATGCTTTCATGGTTCAACATCCCGATTCGCCGGTTTGTATCACGTGACCCCAAGTGATCTCATCTCACGTAAACTACACTACAAAAAACTAATTCTCTCAGTAATTATCTACATTAATTTCAAGTTAAATCTTAATATAAAATACAAGTTTAAATGCAAGAATTATTTCAACTCGTACGAATAGCTTACTCAGAAATTATGTAAAACCACCTTGCTTTACTTCGCTGGTGCATTCTCATTAGAATTGTTGAATTTAACCCTTGATTTTGCCTTTTCTATATTTTCGCCTTCGGGCGTGATTGCATCCTAATTAACTTTATTACCGCAAATGGTCTTAGGGCATAAAATTTAGCTATCTAGGTAAAAATTCTATGTAATTGTATGCCAGTATTGAAAGAAACAATCAATCTGATAAATGGCTGCGACTTGTTTGAAAATGAAGCGTAAAAGGTTAGTAGCAAAGATATTCTGTTTGGCATCAATTGTACTATTATTGGCGACTTTATCGTTTGCGCCGGCAAAAGGGAAAAGTACCAATATTTGTTTTATTTTGTTTTGTTTGTATCGAATTTGGCTTCTGACCAAGGGTTGTACTGACCGGGGACATGCAGTCCTTGGGAGGGGGCAGTGTTACAAAATGCACAAGCGTGGTGAGATAGCTTTCCCCCGCAAAGCAGGTTTAGGGTTGCCATAAAATAGCAAGGGAAGGCAGGGTTGTCACATTTGGCAAGAAATCGTTCATTTGGCGACAAAATTGGCGATATGCCATGGACGGATGGAAAACCTTCTGGAACGAATTCTTACTGTTTTAGTCCAGAATGTTCTCGAACACAAGCCGAAAGCTATATAAACCCTGCTGGTCCGCAGTCAGTGAGTAGAGAGTGCCTCGTCAAGTGCGAGATAGTTGGTGTCTCATCTAGCGAGTCAGTCCGTGTGGAGTCGATCAAGTTGACAGCCGGGCAGCGAGTGCTGAGTGGGTCGTTGAGTGCATTGAAAGAGTCTCTTCGTATATCACGGTTAGTGCATTGTCGAGAGAGCATGTTGAGCTCCGGGAATGACTGAACCGAAGAGTCGGGAGCTGTGCTCTGTATGTCGTCAAGTGCATTGCGAGTTGTAGCGTCGAGAGTCTCGAGAGTACGCGGAGTTCCGAGAACGACCTAGCAGAGTCGAAAGTGCTGTAGTGCTTTGCAGTGAAGCTTTCTTCCCGTTATTGCTTGACAGTGTGACAGCTGTGTCGCTGAACGTGTCAGCGTGTTTATAACAATTCAACGACTATGAACGAGATTTTGGAGTTGTCCTGATTAATACCGACTAATAAAGTGTGTTTCGATACTTCATCAAGTGTCGTCGTTATTCACTCCAAATCTACACGAACCCCGTACGAATGTGAAGGAAGTAACAACTGGTGTCAGAAAAGAAAAATGCAACAATATTTTTGGCAGTTTTGTTTACACTAAGAAGTTATATTTCCAAGATGTTTGTTACGCAAAACAATGCGGAAAACACATGTTGCAAAAACACAAAAGAACAGAAGTTCTCACCTCATTTGTTCTTGACTATGTCTCATCTTCTCATCGTCAGTGCCGAATGATTGCCACGCATGCAATTGATATAATCCTGGAATGGATCCCTTCTGTTTCTGATCCCGGTACTAACAATGCCACATAAATCCCACAGAGTTGAAAAAGTCATCCTTAAATTGTCAAAGAGCTCACTTGTGAAACTCCCACTTAATCTTGCACCACATACCCGTAACTGCCGTGGAAAACATACAAGATTCACTCCCCAGTGCCACCATTTTTCGCACAGGTGCACGTAGTTATGCGATGTATTAGGGGGAATATAAGTGCAAGTTTTACTTTCTAAAAATTGTTTACTCTCACAAAATAAAGAATAAAAGAAAAAATGAAAGTGCGAATTTTAATATTTAGAGTAAAAGTATAAAGTATGAGAAAAATGTTTGTATAATAAAAAAAGGTCTCCAAAATGGAGTTTGGATCAATTTATTTTTAAACTAGTAAAGTGTAACATCAGGTTTCAGTGTTATACCTTGTGAAATCAGTATACCTAAAAAGCATATATTTCTTCTGAATGCCACGATTTTGTTCTTGTTTTTTCTTAAACATCCATTATATTTTTCTTTATTCCTGTCACCTACTAGAAACAGTAAACAAAAACAGAAGACACAGAATAAAAAAAGATATGTTTTAGTCAAACAGAAACACCAGCAAATACCGTGCAGTCATTACTTTCACCATTTCAGAAACAACCCCCTTCCCAATTCCTCCCCCTCTTCTCTGAAATTATATCCTCCTTCGCATACTCTGTCAAGGTCATTGTGGTGTTGCATTCCAAAGCTTTGTGAATAATTTTACTGGTAGTAGTCTTTGCAAGTCAGGGAGTGATTCACCGCTAAATGCTGAAGACTTGATTACAGAGGCTATCATATGCTTTCCAGCTTCTAAATCATGGTTTCAGTAATAGTTTTTGAAAAATTATATCCAACAAGGCTTTTTTTGCATCATCTTCCACAACCTCAAGAAACACTGTTTACTCCGTCTTTAAGTAT